TGTTGTTTGGTTCTGGGGTTGTACCCCTTGTTCTTAGACTTGTCGTTAGTAGAGTTTTGGTACAATGACTTTCAGGTTCTAGGGGTTGTTCTTTCGCATTAGTTTGGTTAGTTGTTTGTTAAAACCTTGGAGTTTATGGGGACTCCATTTTTATAGTCATTTAAACCTGCTTCCGTATCTTTAAATGTCGTGGTTTCCAAAAAAATTGTTTGTTTGGGTTGTAGTAATGGTTCTCCCATCGGAGGGTTAGTGTGGGTGCCAATCACGACGGTTTGGGTCGTGACAACCATGGTAAGCACTTGTTGAACTTGGCTCAATCATCTTTGCTCTAGATTACAAAGACACCTACAATGGAAGACAATGTGACAACACTGAGGCCAAATCTATGTATATATTTTCTATGCCTTCTGAAATTATAAATAACAACTTACAAGGTTACAAACTAGAAATAATAGTAGTAAGAATGTTATGTTTTCTCCTAGGCATGAGTCTCTATCTTCATTTCTGTGTCTGATAAAGGCATATTAAGTACACAAGAGCCTCTTTGCCCTCAGTGGGACTTTTCGGTGCGAATTCGGATTTAGTCGGACTCCAATGTGGATACCGGACATCGGGTAGGAAACCAAAAAAAAAAAAGTACACAAGAGCCTCATATCATTTCTAAATTAAACGACTTTGTTCCCCTCTAATTTCTATCATATCGAACGTAATTCAAATTTTCTCTTAGAAGAATTCACAACTATCAAATGTAATTCAAATTTTTACTCCTAGAATAATTCACAACTACATATTATAGATTCCCGCAAGAAGAGTTTAGATGTTAGCATCATCTACTTTACATCTCGACATAACTACACATAATTGTTATTCGGGTAACCAATGCCAAGATCATTCACATCCCCGACATGAGCATCAATTTTCAAACACGATATATGTTATCTTACAGATAGATTTGTTGATATTTAAGCATGCCACAACATTCTAACCCAAAATTTTCAAAATAACTTGAATGGAACTTACCTTGGAGAATTGTTGCACATCATTTGTTGGCATTGAGGTAGACCAAATGCTTTTTAGAGCCTAAAAAAATCAACTCCTGCAGCACACAAATGAACATTCATATGTTAACAAAAGATAAAAGGGAATATACACTCAAAGCAATGTTTGTTGACACTATAATACTCAAGCATACGACACCCATTAATTGCTCAATACCAAAACTTGATATTTAATAAGGCGACTTTCATCCGATTTCAGGTTATCTGTAGATTGTAGACTAACAAACCACTGAATTGATTGAGATCAAAGTCCACAGATCCCGCATATTTACATGTTCTCGGGGTCATCTGCATCATCATGTTTAAATTGGGCAAGATGTTTTGGCTAGTCTTGGTAAAAAAAAACATTACATAAAGGAATTCTAAGGGTCAAGATAAGTACAAAAATTAAAAGAAAGGTTGAAGCAAGATGCAAACAGGTGTACAGGACGGAGCTGAAAAGCTGTTATTTGTTACATCTCTGAGATGAATAAATCATGAAGTGTAATCTCTCAGCTAGGACTCACAGTTTCAAAATGCAAAATTCAAATGGTAAAGGCCTAAACTCTCATATTCGCCTTCCTCAAATCTAAAGAGGAATCATAAATTGAATAGTTTGTTTATTGGTACAAAAATCATTGCAGAAATTCATCCTCAATGCGAATAGTTCATGATACGTACTAAGAGGAGGATCCATGGCTTACTGTTCTAGATTAGGAATACATCTAATATTGGTTCACACCCTGAATAACAAGGAATATTCATAGCAATACAGAAACTGCAAACTAAAGTGAAGAGAATTAAGAAGATCAAGCACTAAAGAAATATGATGTAGTTCAGAAACGTATTTGTAAATGGTTATTTTTACAAATCCATACAAGATTACAAAGTATGGGACATAGAAAAAGCTGAAAAATAGGATAGACACTTTCACCTAACTTTCAAAATGTCTTTCTTTGATATTCCAGCTTAATACCAATGTATTCAAATTCACCTAGTAAACTTGAATACAATCGGTAAGATGATAAATGAAAGCATATAGTAGTAGTCTATTAATATCAATGATGTTCCTGTTATTGGCACAATATGCCATTATACTTGTAATCCTATTGGAATGTATAGTTATTCCAACAGGATTGTCAGTAGTTAAGCTTTTGTCGAGACATCTTCTTCAACTTCAGTTAATTCGAGCAATTCTCTACTAACAACACTTAATTTTTATATATTTTTATCGATTTATGATTAAATAACTATACAGAAATCAACTTTCGCATAGAAAATTAAACCTTATAACTGTAATATAAGCTACAACATCTTTATTTTACTTGTCCTTTTAAAATAGTCCAGTTTATAGAAAACCTAGAAAGTGAATATTACTAATAGTACAAAGAAATTTTAATTACAAAGGCAGTGGCATTCATATTAATAATCTGCCCATCAATATAATACATAAATAGAAAGTAGTTTGAAGATGAACCAAAAACAGAAAGAAAAAAGACCTCTATACTTTTTTTGTTTGAGAATTAAAAACAGGACTCTATATTTGAAAGGAAATAGCAGATCGCACAACATCTTAAGGTGTTATGCTACTTTTTTTTCTTCAAAATATTTTAGTAGCAATATCAAAAGTGATCCATACAGAAATAAAAATACACAATACATCTTCTGCAGAGTAATTTTGCATGCAACATCTATACCTTACGTGAATGGAAAATAGATTTACCCCTTTTTACTTTGAAGCTTTCAAAAGTGAGAAATCAATACAAACATCTACCAAGGCATAGTTTATACTTTAATGGCAAAATGAAATAATGAGGACTCCTCCTTCACATCACAAGGCATAAGAACTTAGAAAAATCTATTTACAACATCAGTATTCTAATTATTATCCAAGCAAAAGTGTTCTTTATTTTTTTGTCAAATTCTGAAAAATGGCAAGTCCAATTTATCATTATCAATGTACTTCTCTGTTCCGTTAGAATAAAACTTTGACATGTTATGAACGCCCAAGTTAGCAAAGCTTATTTGCTACCATATTAGCATCTTTAATACAATGGCCTATTAAAAATATATCACAGAGTTGTAGGCTTTTTTTTTCACTCGTGGGATTATGCTCAGTATGTCGTCATTGTGCTCTCCAATTGCCATGTAATTTTCTATCTATATTAACATAGAGTTAAATGCTATGTTAACATAGTTGTAGCGATTCTGAATGCACCAACATAAGCCTAATATTATGCCTACGTGAGGTAATTGACTTGGTGAAATATTCTATAGCAGACATATTAATTCCTTCAAAGTTAGCATTTTTTTTTTATCTTCAATATTTCCCAACATATCACAAACGAAGTGTATTGCATCATCATCTATTGTACAATGCTTTTAGGCTTCATAAGCCATCATTCTATAAGTTGATGCCTCGTGATGGTTCTGATTTCTATCCTCATACCACAAAAATCACATAAAGTTTTTTCATACCTACCTTGGTTGCTACCTCACTCTACATAATAGGTACTCCATATCTTACTATTTATGAGTTCTACAACACAACAAATAAAAGGCCTTGTATATATTGAATTATGGAATTATTATAAGTAGGAATAACACTTGCCTCTCAGACTCCACTCATGGAATTACACTGGATATGTTGTGTTTGTATTATCAATAGAAAGTTTATTACATAGTAAACTCTTCATGAAAATTGAAATCTTGAATAGAAACTTCCTATGCCATATTTTTAAATTAGACAAATTCTTATTGTTCCTACTATTAAATTTTTTCCTGGCCCACCACAAGTAAATTTTTTCATGTGACCATCCTATTCTGCAAGCCAAGATTTACTCAAATTGGCCATTGCAACTTAATATAACTATAATTTAACAAAAAAACACAAACTTCTAAAATTGATAGCCTTGAGTTGAGGAAACTACACCTAAAACTATAAATTTTGCTTAACCTTGTTATGTGGAATACAAATGAGTATTTGTGATACTTAGGAAAGTTTAAAATCAGCCACTTCCAAAGAAGAGATAATTTGGTTCTATATCATAAAAAAATCATTATTTCTAGCAACTAAATTTGATCTTTATTTTTCACTCAACTGAAACAATACTCATTTACAGTGATGAAATATAGAGTGTGACTAAGGAGAAGTAATACAGGGAAAAGAGATGAGAGAGTCTATGTCTCTAGACATAGGTTTAATGTGTTAGACATAGCACGTAACAGACCATAATAAACTAATGGATAAAACGACTTACCTTGTACATTGAACCAATATTGAATCGTCATTGTTAGTCCAAATGACAGAGTTGGAGGCATGGTAGCCTTGAGGAACCACGATTCCCAGCGGCTATGTATCAATTAAAGATCACAGTTGTGTTGGCGCTGAAGAAAGAGAATAGAAGGTTGTTCTGTTTAGGAGAATAGCCGATGATCTACTTCTGTTTTGGAAAAGAGAGGATATTTCTAGGTCACACGTGGAGTGAGCACGGTTAAAGAATTTTAAAAAATAATGAAAAGACAATTCACATTAGGAAGATAGCTCTCATTGAACTTACTAATGAGTCAACATAAAATTTAGTTCAAGTATTAACACCAAATTACCAGAATATACCTCCACAATTAGTGGAGTCCAAATAATGGAAATGAAAGAACTTGACAATGGAAATGGAAAGTGATCTTTTATGTGGCTGAAAACGGAAAAAAGAAAAGAAAAAAAGAGCAATCAAATTGGATATGGACAGAAATTTGAACGACATATTTTAAAATTTGAAAAGAATTCTAAAGCAAGTGGAATTACAACCATAATTTGTTTTAACTAAGAGTTTAATGTATCCTTCAACTTCAACAAACATGAAATTCAACCACTAAAATGAAAATTTTAAAAATAACTTAATAAGGCAAAATAAAAAATAAAAAATAATAATGCTGAAGATGAAAGTAAAATAAAAAACAGAATATTTAGGAGAAAAAAAAGAGGATACCTGGACTTGTAAGCTAGTTGAAAGGATGAAGAAAGTGGGTATTTCTTTGATATTCTGAAGGCTCCGAGGATGAAAGAGAAAGCTTTAGTCGTAAGCAAGAGTGAATGGATACTTGTCGGGTTATGATTACAATTGAAATATTATCAAGTGAAATGAAATTAATATAAGTTCTTGATCGTTCTTGACTTCTTCTTGATGTTTGGATCCATGATTAGAGTTCGGATTTGGAGAGATTGGTGAGAAAGAAGAGAAAAAGTGAGATGAAGAGAACATTCTGGAATGGGAAAGAAACAATAGTTTGTCATTTGCTCTAATTCATTTTACCCTTGAATAATGGGTATATTTACAGGTTTACCCTTGGTCGTTCTAAGCTTCATGTTTCTAACTAGGACGACCAAGGGTAGATTCGTATTTTTTTTTAGGGTAAAATAGGAATTATGTCTTAGTTACTATTAGAATGAAATTCTAGAAAGACGTGGACCTTTCATTTTCCATTCCTAATCATATAGAGACAAGAGTCTCTTTTCTTTTCTTGACCAATAAATAAATCAAAAAAATCTTCTTTTCAATTTTACATCAGTAGTGATACAAGGTATGATTTTTTTTCATCAATTTTCATTTTCAATAGTAATACAAGATATGATTTTTCTTTCAAATTTCTTAATGTTGTCTTCTTCTATTTGGAAAAAAAATTAATGTTGTCTTCTTCATTCATATTAAGATTGTTCTTCAAGACCATATGAACATGTCCCTCTTCTACTGCATTTTTTTTTCATTTTCATTGATTATCAAATTGCACTGTAGTTGTAATACTCACAGGGGCATCGCGATGATTACAATTATAGGTTTATGTTTTCTCTTAAATTTGTCATAATCTTTCTTCCTTTATTCTTGATCTATTTTTCTTTACATATTTTTGTTTTTCTTTATTTTCTCTTTTCTTATATTTTGAGGCTGCAGATATCTCGTTGTCATCACTTTTGAAAGCATTTTACTTTTTGAAATATTTAACTTCTTCTAGGGGCAAAATAATAATTGTGTTTTAATTGTAATTATGGTAATTTCTAGAAAGAAACAACCTTTTCATTTCTTAGAACGAAGAATTTTTTCAGTTGCAGAAGCATGACTTGGTTGTCCCCCTATTATATCGGGCTTAATTGTAATACTAAGTCGGTAACTCTAGAGATCCCCGATAGGGAAAGATTACAGTGGGAAGGGGTGCACAAGCCTAAGCTAGTTAAGATCATATCCTCCATTCGGGCTAGGTAACTGGTAAGTAGGGTTGTTTGGCTTATTTGGCTTATGTTTGGGATGTTGAGGTTTCATCTCCCTCTATTGAGTATGTTTTTGTGGTATCTGAGTTTAAGGAAGTGTTTCCTACATATTTGCCTGGTATGCCTCCGAATAAAGATATAGATTTCTGCATTGACTTGGATACTGGCACTCGCCCCATTTTCATCCTTCATCAAAGTCTTTTCCTTTACCTTGAAAATTACTTCTTATAGCTATAAAAAAATAGTATCTGGAAAGATTTTGAGGGTATAATTGTCTTTTTACGTAATAATAATTAATGTTTATATTTTATTATAGATATTTTTGTACTTGTTCACAATTTATGTGGCCGAAAATCAAACACATATGTCAATCTCTCTCTGGAAATTTCTACTCATGCTTTAAATAAACTTTTAGATTTCACCTTGTCTCTCACAAACACTCCATCTTCTGCTTAATCTCGAGCTTGTACAGGTAAGTTTTCAGTAAATTGTTCTTTTTTATTTTTTCTAAATACTTGCTAACCTACAAAATACATTATAAGTTCTGGCTTTTTTATTCTCTGTTTGTGTAATGTTGTTGTTTATAATAATTTTTGTTCAGACGGTTGTTTTGTATTCTACTGTACAACTTGTGTTTTTTCAACTCGATGCATTAATGGTTGTTTGTTTGTTCGAGATTATGTTCTTCGTTATTGATTTTAGAGGTTTAAATGACTATAAAAATATAGTCCCCATATACTCCAAGGTTTTAACAAACAACTAACCAGACTAATGCGGAATAACAACCCCTAGAACCTGAAAGTCATTTTACCAAAACTCTACTAACGACAAGTCTAAGAACGAGGGGTACAACCCCGAAACTAAACAACACCTTAAACAAAAGTCTGAGTCCGAAAAGAGTGGACTTAAACAAGAAAGATCCATGGCAGCCTAAAAGAAATGACTCACTTTTGAATTTGGTCACGCTCAATAGTCACCTAGCTGAGGTCTATCAATAGCCATCGGAAGATGCCCGGTACTCAACAAAGAAAGAGCAAGTGCAGTATCAGTACACAACCACAGTGTACTGGTAGGATCACACGGCTATCCCACTAAGTGCAACATACATAAGTCAAGACAACAATATAATCACATGCATATATCAAACATATACAAGATTATCAACATTTACGAACAAGATACAGTTTTATATCAAATAATTGGTTCTCTCATGGAACCCAAACCCAAACAGTTAGCATACCGGAACGTGGTACCCGATCCAATGATTATGCCGGAACGTGGCAACCGATACCATCATTATGCCGGAACATGGCAACAGATCCAAGTTAGTGTGTCGGAACGCAACACTCGATTCATTCAACAAGCCACAATCACAAAATACATTCGCATTATCATACAATCAAGTCATGATTCATGGCATTCACCATTCATATTTTCTCATTTACAATTAATGTGATCAATAATGCAACATTCGCATACAAACATGTATCATAATGAAGCTAGAACAAACATACATCACACAATAATAGAATCACAACCATCACCTACCTCAAAACAAGCTTGAAACCCTAAGAAACTCGATCCTTCCCTTTCCGGATTCGTTTCGCTTGTTCTTGGTCTACAAACAATCAATATAATACGGGAATCAATAAACAATCATTAATTATCCAGATTACTAACAATTCTAACAACCCTAGATCATACCCATGATCCCAAAATCCCAATTTAGGGCTTTTTCCACCTTTAGTTTTAGATCAAAACCCTTACCCCACAATAATTACCTACGAATTTACATTCTACGGATCAAAAAATGGATTTGGGGAGTGAAAACCTTACCTTTAGCTTCAAGAATGGTGGAAAACTGTCAAGAAAACCCCTGGGGTCGTTCCTTAGCTCTCAAAGTTGAAAAGTGCAAAATAAACGTTTTTGGGGTTTTATTTCCGACTTAAGTCGCGTCTGTTCCACTATGGCGAGACCCATCCCGCTACAGCGGCAGTATTCTGATATACCGTGAGTTTACGGTATTTCTAATACATTTCACTTTACAAGTTGTGTGTGTCTAGGGCCTTTGTTGTATTAGTTTTCATGTGTTTTTATCATATTTTGCAGGAAAGATGTTCAGGCGCGAAATTAAAGAGACAACTGATAGAATTGCAGAAAAGGGCATTTACGGACCGTAGGTCCATTGACGCTTCGTAGATGGTAGTCGTAGATCAGCAGCCAAGGCATGGAAGGGCTAAGTCAGGGAAATCTGACCAAGTGTGGAACCACGGTGCCTATTGACGGTTCGTAGATTGATCTACGGACCGTACTGTTGATCCGTAGATTGATACTGCGAGGGTTCCAGTACCTGATTTTTGAAGATTCCAAGTGTGGAGCTATGGAAGGGGATTGACGGACCGTAGATCGATCTACGGTCCGTACTGCACTTCCGTCGTTTGCTTCAGAGAAGTTGATTTTTGGAAGTTGAAATATTTTCTAAGTCCTGGCTGACGGAAGGGACTCATGGACCGTAGATCCATTGACAGTCCGTGAGTCAGTCTCGTGGAACGAAGACGCGTGCCTGTAACAAACTTTCTTTATTTTGTTTCCCTTTTATTTAGGACTTGTTTTCTATAAATATGGAATGTAAACCTCATTTTTAGGGGTTAGACATTATTATTCTATTTTAGTTCTTGACTTGGGAGATTAACTTGCAACTTTAGCAATTATTAATTTCCTTAGATCGTTGTGAAGATTTTTGGAGTTGCAATTCAAGTTGAATTTCTGGGTTTATTACTCTTGTTACGTAAGTTTATAATTCTTCCATCTAAAACAATGAATTGTAGTCATATGATTATGGGTAACTAAACTCCACAACTAGGGTTGTGGGAACCATGAGCAATCAACAAAGTATCAATAGTAAATAAACAATTCTTAAATAGTGTGGTTCATGCATTGATAATTCTTTCGTTTAGAAGTCTTTTTAGCGGTTGCAAACGTTAGAACTCGCCTTGTTGTTACTTGCCGGACCAAGGAGGTAATCAACAAGAAAAGAATTATCAATATAGATTTAGTGTGATACTATCTAATAGGCTAGTGTCGATTGGTGCGAAGTAATAACTAAGCCAAACATCAATTATGATGTCTAATATGAGGTAAATGTAAGGGTTAGTAAAGTACACACACGTAGCTGGACCAAGGTGCGGGGTGAGATTCTTCAGATGCCGGACCAAGAATTTAGAGATACCTAACTTATCACTTTGCATGTAATACACTAAGAAATGATTGCTATTACTAGGATTACTGCGTTATGAGCTTGTGGGGAAAACGGATACCCTAGTTATTTCACTCATCTTGATAACAACCCAAAAACTCTTGATAACAACCCAAAAACTAACTTTTGATTACTGATTATTTATTGAATTCTTACAATTTGTTCTACAAAACCCCCCATTTTATTACTTGTTTCTGGAAGTAATTTGACTAATTGAATATAATTGTTGGTTAAAGTAAAGTCTAAACTATTTTCCTCGTGGGATCAACCCCAACCTACAAGTTGGGTTCTTTACTTGATAACGATCGTTTATGTTTCTCTAAGTAGGTGTAATTTGAGCATGTCAAATTTTGGCGCCGCTGCCGGGGAAGTTTGGCTTTTAGATTTATTTTAACTACATTATTGAACTTTAGTCAAATATTTCCTAATTTTACTTTTTCTCTTTGTTTTCGTCTCTCTCAGGTTCTGACTCTAGTGTATGCCAAGTACACGGAGCCAAGGTGAACCACTTACTCCTTATGATCCAGAGTTGAATCGCACTTTGCGAAGAATGAACAATCCAGGAGATCCAGTTAATCCTAACGGAGGAAATCTAGGTGATGCAGTTGAGTTACAACAACCGAGGGTAGTTGGTAGGAACAATCAGATTCCAGCTGACAATCAATTGGGAGATGCATTGAGGGTGCAAGATCCACCAGGCCCACTACAACATGACCACTATCGGGGCAACATCAATATAGCAGACTCTGATGGACCTATTATCCTAC